GTCTGGAAGCGTGCGGCGGCGTGCTGATACAACAACACGCCGCCGCGCGCGAGTGTGTGTGTGTATACCTAATCTGTAGGGTGTTCATACGATGCGTAATTAATTACATAACTTTTGGTTAACTTTACTTAAAAGTTTATTAATATTTATGTTATATTAATTTTTATTCTGTCATATATGATCGTCAAATATCACGTCCTCAAGTATTGATAGTAATTCACCAGTCACCCTGTATAGCTATGAATATTTCTCAGAACAAAGGATGAAGTTTGTATATTACAAAAATAATAAAACAATCAGTTGTTTAATTAAAATAAAAACAATTTTTTTTTAAACAAAACTTTGTAACTCCAAGCACTTTTCTATAGAAATGTCAACGAAAGTTTTATAAACGAATAAGATTTATAAAATCCAGACTTATTATGATATTCGTGAAAACAGGGCAAGGGCTTCGGGTAACTCGTGTCGAAACGAGCGCAAGAAGTTTTTACCAGAAAATTTAGCTCATAAATTACGTCACATACGTTCTCATCCACCATTATTTGGACTCACTGAAGTAACTTGGATATACTTTTTACAATGTTTGCAAAAGCTCTGCAATTTATCTTATCTACCTATGTTGATACAATAATATACTTCTATCTTGTTGTTCAATGAAATTTATTGTCTTATTCTATGAAGTTTGTATTTTTATCATATCAATTTGCTGAAATACATGTAACAATATTTATATGTATTACGCAGTATAAATATCATATGTTATTCAAACAAGTAATTTTTGTAAGAAACTTTTTAAAAGTCTGAAAAAATAGGGGAAATAAAAATTTATATAACTTTAATTGATATAATTTGAGTAAAATCTTTAAAACTTTGTATAAATTTTAAGTCCAAGTAAGGAGCAAATTGAGTTTCATAGTTAAATCACGTATGCGTCGCACCTTGAGTGTCGGCCGACTTAACGAGAAAATAGTGGCCGTAAATCACGGAAAACTCCTCTTATTGAATTTTCTCCTGTCGACACATCTACTTTTTGTTTAGTTTGAGACAGGAAAAGAGGTAACCATTGCTTGTTTCTATTCGATAAAACTTTTAAAACTGCATATGATTTTCATCTGTGTATTATCTCAGGAAAATTGTAAGAAAGTTATAAAAACAGAATTCGAAATGATATGAAATTTTTTTTGGATAGAAAAAATATTCAAATTTTTTAAGTGCGTACTACTCGACGAAATGTTAAAATAACGTTTAAAAAAAGCTCGCATAACATATTAAAAAAAACATGTAGCGAAATAACGAGCTGTGGCACAAGTCTGAAACAGTTGGTCGTCTTTAGATCTCGCTTGGCTGTGCAGCTAAGGAAATATTGCAATATAGTTGCAGGAGGCTTCAGGCTGAAGTGGTCTGCTGCGATCAAATTATATATTTAAAAAGGATTAAATTTCTTGGTTTATTTTATACCTTAACCCAAGTATGTTTTTAACTTGTGTCTGTTACGCCTCACGGCTCGCGGAAGTAAAGGGTTAGTCGCGTCATGCAAATATAAATTGAAAAAGTTTAGATGAATTTATAAATATTATACTGTATATTTCAAAAAGTGGATGAAAATATTAAAGTAAATATTTCAAAGTTCTTATGAATTTCATCTTCAACGACTTCTGCAATAATTCTTAGCCGTAAATCAAACTACTAAAACGGATTATATTACTCGAAAGTATATAAGATTCAGTTCATATTTTACAGAAGCGAATGTGACGGTATTCTTGTAGTAAATCTTCGACAAAGTTCACTGGTATCGGTATTCGGTTGCGACGTATTTGGCAAGCGAGTCGTGCTCGCAGCCAACTGTGACACTGTACTCTGTGTTGTGTGAACTTATTTGATCGGATAAGCAAAGCTGCTGCTTTGTATGATTTATGTCGCGAACAGTTTTGCTGTCACGAGATATAAGATTATTCATAGTTTTAAGATTCAATAACATCCGCCAAGCTACCGCTCCATCTGAATATCATGAATATCAAAATTATCTATCTGTAGACAGCTATTCAAATCTGTGGAACTATTGAGTTTTATTTAAACATTGCTCTACTGGAAACGTTTAATAAAATCGGTGTTGTATTTCTTTTTCGACTCAAACGTTATAAAAATAATATATAGAATAGTTTAGTGTAATTTGTTCCTAGAATACAAGGTTTGTTTTTCCGTAATATAGACTATTAGAGCTCTACACGCAAACTGGCAATCACGGCTATTCATGATTCTGTTGAATGCAACAAATCGAAACGTTTGTCGGTAAAATATAGACTAATGTAGAAAACATCACCACCGATAGGCAATCTATTTATTACTCTTTCGGGTTTTCCGCAACTGCAAATTGAGTTTCTAGAATTTAATGGCCTCTGTTTATAAATGTTTCGCGTGATTTAATGGCTACCTAAAATTCGAGAAGTTGTCAAAACAAAACGAGTAGAAAACTTCGGCTATTTCTTTGTTTAGTTTATTAATGCTGTTAGAAAAATACTGGAGTTGTGGCGCTCGTCGTTTTCTTTTATTTGCAATTTCGTTTAGTGGCTGTTTTACTTGTTTGCGTTTCTTGTTTTATAAAGTTGGTTAGGTATTAATATTAAAAACGATTATCAAGGGTGTCTTTTAAGAAAACACAGGAATACAAAGACGGAGATAACGAATTTGACTCTTACAGTTTAGGATGATTTTATTTTACAAAAAGAGATAATAATTTTCATTAAAGACTTAATGTTATTATGAAAACAATAGTAACATATTTTGAAATAACACAGGATTGCTTATTTATGTTATTAATATTAATATTTACAGTATTAGAAAACTTTACTATAACAATTAAATAAAACCATAATGAAAACATATATTTTTTCATATTACTAAAACTGTTAAAGCGACAATTAGAAAACGACATAATTACATATTTATTGTAACTGATTCAGTTATGATACGTTTTATCGCGTGACGTTGAGGAACCCTGACGTGTGAAACAAAAGTTTTACTTGGTTGGAATTTCATTCACTCACTATATTTACATTAAATGTAGCTATGTGAAGAACCAATTCCGCTGAAGTAAGGCTAACATGATTGAGGCTTTGAGTTGTCATGAATATCAACTAGATGATGTCAAAAGCCTTATGTCGTGGAACTTTCCTTTAGCCACTTACTTTGTATTTACGCAAAGAGAAAGTTTGATGAAAACTGTCTACAATCTCTTAATCGTGACTTATTGATTGAATATTATTTCCATTTCCTAAATGTTCTAAACAGATTCTATAAGTTAAATGTTTGTTAATATTGCTATGAAAACGAATTATATAAAGTCATTCGTTAAAATGTGGGTTCATTCAGCTTTTAATAGCATTTCGTATTTACGTGAAATTTAGACACGTTGATGGAGTTAAATCCTTGAAAGTTTTATGTAAGAACATGCCGGATGTTCTTAAATACAAATTGAAAATAAAATGTAATAGTTTATTTTTTATAGAATTAGAATATATTTATTTTTAAAACTTTGAACTCTGTTACTTCGTATTCATACATGTTTTGTTGATAAGTTCAATTAAGCTGATGAATAAATAATTAATACATATATATTATAAATAGATTATAACTTGAGATTTACAGTTGGACTGTTCTTCAATTAAAAACTCATAAAACGTATATTTTACAAGGTACGAATTATAACTACATTACTTTTTTCGTTACAATATTACAGAGTCCATTAGGTGAGTTGATACTGTATTACGTTACGAAGTATTTCAACAAGCTGCATGGCTGCTAAAAGGCATGTCCATATTCCATAGTGAATTTTACTTTCAGCTTCGTTATCAAGTCGGCACACGCAATACCACAATCACGACCGCGATGAGTGCACATCAAATACTTCTAAACTTTAACTTGTATAAAGAATAATATATTCCTTTCTTACAACGTATATCAAAAACTTCTCAGAAACTGTACGTAATTACTTTTTTTTATAAGGCCACGACATTAAATTCATTTTAATGTTATTATTTTATAGCGATAAGATTATATTATGTTATCAGTTTTGCCTATGAAAAACTGACTGAACATATAGAACTAACGACAAACATTTGCACAAAAGTATAATTAGTCGAGTTTTATATAAAGCATAAAAATAATAAGTATGTCAACACAATTATAAAAAAAATATCAAATTCAATTAAAAGTGTCTTCAAGCAACATTTAATTGAAAACATTTGTATTTATTTTTCTTTGAAAACCTCATTAGTGAAAAGAAATACGATACTTATGTTTGTTGTATTTATGTTGTTAAAAATTCAATTCCATAATATATTAATAATTCACTTTAAGGTTTTCAGTTTTTATTTGGTTGTAATACTTTCTAATATTTCAAATGTACTGGAGCCGGGCAATAAAAACACTTTGACGTAGCCTTTCTGTAGTATATGATATATGTGGTCATGAAATTCGGTGTCAAATACATACATTTACATGATGTTTGGGCTACATACAATTGTCCCTTAGTATCTCATATATATTTTATGTCACAACAGAACAAGTAATTAAATTCCTAAGGAGAACACATTGACCTCAAATGTTGCTCTCAGATCTTCACCACAAACTTTTTTTTATCGATTATTTCACTTAACTTTTAATTGATACTGAAATATGTTAAACTCATTAAGATTATTTTATAGCTATTATAAAGAACGGCTATAATAGAATTATTCCGCATGGTTGATTGTACACTTTTAGTTTAATATGAAATATTCCATAAGGAATTAATTAATAATATTAGATTGATATTAGATTAGAAAGGAATTAAATAAATCCAAGTCGTTTTTTCAATGATAGCAACAAAGAAACAGCTCACACTTTAAAACATAGCTTTTAATTAAAAGTTTTGTCTTAAATATTAAATATATTGATTGTAAATAAGACCCGTACGTTTCGTACATATTGTGGGCTTAATAGTTTTTTACCTCGTATTGAGCATGAGTGGAAGGTAAATAAAATGAAATAAATTCACCTTTAAAGAATGAATGAAAATAGATAAACATTTATTTATATATAAATACACATATAAATTAATAATTTTGAGATGACTTTTTTATAATATATCTTCCCATAGTTGTACTTGTTAGCATTTTACCTCTCAAACTACGATACCTCGATACCTAAACCACTTTTGGTGTCGTTTTTAAAATAATGTCGATTTACACTATATTTCAATTTAAAAAAATGGAATCGCGTCAAACAATATTGTTACTCATTTTAACCATTTGTTACTTGGAATATGTTTCGGATAGTTTGATAGCTCTCGAAGTTACACTTGAAGTTACCCCTCAATAGACCCTTACGACTAAAATAACTTCGACTTGAAAACTCAGATGATACTTGAAATTTAGTTTTATCCAATTTAAAATATCAAAATTCACTGAACTTTTTAAATTAGAGCTGTCATCATTGCAGTTGTTAGTCCTATCAGAAAGAAAAACGAGTAATGACTCTTCTTTTACGAAAACGATAAGAAAAATGTTAATATCATAATACCTTATTTTTATTTTACTTTAAACAATATTCCTAGCAATAAGCATCACTGAAAGTGAAATTTTTCAAGTAATTCAAGTAATCAAAACAAGTAATTATATTGTTATTATTAAAATTAAGTTATCATTAGCTTAAAATATGTCAAGCTTTACGGAGAAATAATGCGAAAACATACCTACATATATGTACATATAATGTATATACAATTACTGCACCTTCTCATATAGAATATGTACAGTAATTGTTTATATAAGATACCCGCTCTCTGTTTACGTTTAAAAGCCGGAAACATTATGCACTGACACCATATACAGATCACTTAATGCGATCTCAAATTAAGCCTATATTTCTCTAGAAACCAGACCATTTAACATTAAGTATTCCGAAAATGGTAACCTTGTATGCTTAATACACCAGATATATTATAATGAACTGTTTAGTATAAACAAAACAGTATCATATACGTTTTGCATTACTTCTTTCGCTATAGGTATTCTACATTTAAATAACAATAAAAACTTTTTGTATATATATTTTAAAAAGAAACTGCTTTAAAGTACAGAGTGCCACAAGAAACAGAATGCGGTGAAACACGACAAAAACACTCTGTGACGGCTTGGACGATTGACAGCTCACCTGGGAACCGCATGCAAATTGACTGCAGGAACAACGAGCCAAGAAACTGGAATAAAGTCAGTAGAAGCAGGCTAAGAATATTAACATTGACTTGCTTTGATCATATCTAATTGGTTTATTTTGATGTATATCATGTAATAATAATGAAATTCAGATATTCTCCTGCAACAAAATTATTAACGTCATATCAAGCGACTGATTATCCAGAACGTCCGGACATTTATTTTGATATGATTGTCATAAAGTTTTATGAGCACAAGTTCAAACAATAAATATTATTCATGATACAAAATATCAAGTGTCGTGATATTGGTAACAATATATGAGATTAATAACGGCCTTACTCGGTCACGCTCGATTTAGTACGGACCCAACGGTTACTAAAACTTTAATAATAATACAAGCAAACAAATATCTATTTTGATTAATGGAACGTTTCCTATTTCAGTTAAATTAAAGTTCTTATAATACTGATTAATATTCTAACTTGCTGTCTAAACGCGCCGGAGGAAGCTATGCACAAAGCCGACATGGAAAGGGTATTAAGCAGTGGCTTCAATAAACGGCCCAACAAGTTATGTAAAGTGCATCGCGTTACTACAACCCTACATGGTTAGTTGGGGTTGGGGCGCATGCGCGTGCACCGTCGGCCGTGCACGGCATATGCGGAATATTAAAGGAGGAAAGAGAAAAAAATTAACTTGTGAAGCCATTTTCGTCTATTGGTACCCCCTCGCCCGCGACGGGTTCTCCGATGCAGGCAGAGCGCCTCGCGGAGCGGTCGAGGACGAACGTCTGGCGGTATTGTGACGTATTGCGCTCTGATTCTCGAACCGGTTTCGTTGGAAGTGATTACACGTTATCCAGTTAATAATACTAGTGCAGTGTTTTGTACAAACTCTTAAAAGCTTTTAGCCGTGAACTAGTGCTTATAAGACAAATTTAAGCCAATAATTTGTTTTATATAATTTTTTTTCTGTGAAGTGAAGTTTTAAAAAAGTTTTGTGATTTCTTTTCTAAGTGATATAAACTAACTCTATTATCATTTATAGGATATATTGACTTATATGCAGTTATACAAATTATTATTATACTTTAAAGTGTATTAATAAACTTATTAAAGTGAATATTTATAAAAAGTAATTCTACAGGAAAGTAAGATTACAAAAGAAAAAGGTAAGTTAAAAACAATGCTTTGTTTTTGTCTTGTCATAAAATTTTGTTCGTTCTGCTTTATTACAGACTTTTTTCTTAATGACGAGATTGTTTATGGGAATGTTTATTATTATATATCCTCACATTTGTGTTTATTTTTGTTTCTTTATGTGGTTTATTCTTTGAGCCTTAAAAAGTGTTAAGTTGACGTATAGGTTATTTAGTTAGGGGCATGGAAGCTAGTGTAGATACCTGTTGCTAGACCATACATAGACATAGACGGTGTTTATCTTAATGCACTGAGTTATGGCTTGATTTTTTAAAGTAACATTCCATTATCTTTTTTAGTTATTTATGGTTTAATAACGACGGGAAAAAGCAATTTTAAATAGACAACCGTCATAAAAATCCATACGGCTTCTAATAAATTATCGGAAGACGTTCTTTTTATTGGAGTAACGAATGGTGAGATGAGTAATGGCACAAGTTTTACCAATAAATCATGCTTTCCCTGTTCGAGTGGAGCTTCCGCCTTGGGGTTGTATTTGGCATGAGTTCTACTTACTTTTATTTTTGAGACTGAAGACTCTTTATCTGACGTCTGCAATCAGATGTGCAGCTACAACTTTTCTTAGAAGTAACTTTAAATTACTTTTTACATTCGACGTACTACATGTATGTAGCTCTGTGTACTAATTATCGGAAAAAGTACTTTTAAATGTCAACTTTTGTAGGCAAGTAAAAAAGTACAAAATTAGGTGGATTATTGAAAAAATATTGATAGCAGTAAAGGATTTTCACCAAGAAAATAGAAGTGCTAAATAGACCAGAAGTCGATGGGCCGTGAAATGACGTGTCGGACCCGAGATAGTTGATGAACTATTGTTTAGAAATGTAGAGATGTGGACGTGTTCCCTCTAGAGTCCTATTGATATTGGATCTGTCGGATTTGTGAAATCTATTCGGATATCCGAAGAATTGATTAAATGTTCCGTTTAAGTGTACGCATTCCCGGTATTAGTTGTAAGTCATGCGGAGAGAGGCCATTTCATATTTTAGTTTTGAATATGTACATTGGTTTGTTTTTAAGTATCGTCGTTATAAATGAACTACATATATACAAAGGGGAACAAAAAAATTCATAAATTCAAAGACAACACATATCTGATAAAGAAAAATATTTGTTACTTAATGTTCGTAAATTTAAGTATTAGGAAGAACATAGTTTTATCGTCGTCACGGTTCATATTGACGATAATAAACAACGATTCCCACGTTAACTGAAGCCGGCGTTGGATGCCACGCTTCGATACTCCATTCTTTTTCACTATTGTCCCTTTGTTCATACTTAACCTCGTCAGGCTCAAAGGAGCGGTGCTTTATTCCACCGCCTTAGTTTAAAGTACTTAATTTTCATTGCCGCCCTCACTCGCTATATTTTTATCAGCCACATAATGACCCGCGGAAAGTTAAGCGTCATCTTAAAATACCAATGCGGGAATTGTAGGTAATACTATTAAAAATTAAAGAACCAGAACAAGAAGTAAATGCAAGCTATCTATTTATTATACATACTATGATTGCGTGTCGCTTTTCATTTCCATAAAGAAATTTATTGTCACTAAATTTTAAAAAGTATAGGACTGCAAGAAGATATTTTGAAGAAGACTATTTTTTGACGCGATAAATTATCTCAGGTAGCTAGAAGAAGCCCAGGACAAGAACTAGTTCATAAAACTCATTTGCATATCTAGTATTATTTATTGACGTCGATAATATGGATGTTTATACTTAAAACTCATATCCGCTTTAAGATTACACCAGATAATTAAATTTAAATTAATTAAAGGTTTTATAACCACACCGCCGTGCCGACCATAAATGTAAGAAAAAATTTGCATTCTTGTTTTTATTTCAAAACTTTAAGATACGTTTTAGACCACCCGCGAAGCCTTGCTTTTTAATTTAATAAGAACTTTATTTCAATGTGATAGAACTGAACATACTTTTATCTTGCAAATTTCGCTATTTGCTCGCGATTTCATATAATAACCTCACTCGATGTAATCATTGTGTACAACCTTTGCAATTGAAATTACAGCCTGCAAAAATGTTTTTGCGCTATAATACAAATTTTAGTTCGCTTAAAAATATATGGTGTCGAATATGCTGTTAATAATTTTTAATCTTCTTATAATAATAAGAAAAACAGTTGCTACATTCGAATCTCATTAGTGAAACAAAGAATAAAAACTTAAAGCAATAAATTTAGCAAGGCTCAAGTCGAACAGCTTACGGTTTCTTTTAATTTGGTTGCCATTGTTAAGACGTCCCGCTGGGCGCCACCCGTAGTATTTCTTGCTAGGGCTCCAGCTGATTCAAACATTAGTAACTTCTTATTAGTCGATTACGAATGAAAATTAAATTTTATTTCCCGTCGCTGGTCCACAGATAAAAACAGCTATAATCTGTCCTATCTTATTTCAAGTTAATTTCATCATTTGAAAATTAAATGATTTGCACTTGTTATCATAACTTTTTACGATTCCTTTCTTGGAGACATCAAACAGGCTGCTACCGCAAAAAGATTTCTCAGAAACGATATTTATTTATATAAAATGATTGAAGCTGAGAGCTTAACCGCCGGAGGACATATGAGCAAACTTAATGACTTTGCATTATTATATTGACGCATCGAGCCTACACTCCGATGAAATTAATAGTTGTCCGGCTATCGATGGCAGCGATAAATTTGTCCGCACATGGATAGGTTCTAGATACATCAATCATTTTGTGGTAATTGAAAACATACAGCTGCATTTTAATGATCGAATAATAACTTGGTTGATGAATATCATAAGTCTTTAAAAACTGAAACACATGCCAGCTTACAGCCTCCTAAAATATTTATAACAATATGACACACATTTTGCAAATTGGTACCGATTTCGGCACATCTGTGTGTAAGAGAACGTGCCGTTTTGGGCCACTATGAATTTTCCCACACGTAAAATGGAATAAAAAAATGGTTCACCCAACAGCCCCTTCTCGATACAACAAACAAGCAGGTAAGCGAATCTTTACGATCCTTCGAATAAAATATGTTTAGAATGCTGAAGGATTGTACATCTTGTTACAATAGAATAGGTAGTAAAATGAGAGTGACATTCGAGACTTCTGTAACAATGTTTGGAGAATATAAAACCAAATTGCTCTTTTTTACGTCCGAACGTCTCTCCATATTAAAATGCTATAAAAGTTCTCAAACCAAGGAAATAAAAAGTTTATATCAAGACACCACGCAAAAATTCACATTAATTAGATATTTGGTTGCATATTCTATACTGATATGTTTATTATTTTTCCGTAAATATTTTACGGTCTAAAATATATATAATGAGGTTATATCAATTTTCAAGTATTGTTACACTACCGACAAACTAATATTACTGACAATACATAAGTACCTATAAATCAAAATACAAGGTAAGTATGAACATCACCTATAATTTTAAGATCCGGGCTCTTGAATATCATTATAGGTAAATCAATGAAAAAAAAAGGCCATTAATAGCTGGTCGTTGTGAGCACAGTTTAATACATCGATGTAAACATTTAATATCTTCTTATTGTAATGTCCAAGTTGGAAACGTCGGGGTAACATTCCAGACGCGACGGTCAATAAAGGACGGTAACTATCAATAGCATTAGAAAGTGTCAGGGAATGAGAACTGAGTTTTTAAATCATGGGTGTGATATTTGTGAACAAATATTACCGATTTCTGTTGATATTTCGGAATGTGTCACCGCTTTCAAGATTAAGTGGTGCCTTTTATGGAAATGAAAAAATCTACAGCTGTGCTTCTAATGGCGTTACCGATGTGTATGGCTCTAGGCATTTGTACATAACAATAAACATAAATACAAAGTCACGTTTGTATATTAACCTAAAATATTTAATCAAACGAACGCGGTAAACATCATTATATGTAGAAAAGTTTACGCTTACTTCCCCAGGCGTATAATTACTCTTTGTTATGGAATCCTGTTCAAGCGGGCGTACATTAAGTTTACATAACAACCTAGCTAGAGGGCAGTGGTCGCAGTCAAAACAACGATGTTATGATACGAGACGGTCCGCATCCTCGTGGTTCAAATAAACAATCTTTAACCGCCATTAAAGCGCAGCTGGCAGGTGTGACGAGAACATCAGGGTCTAATGTGATGGTAGACCATCAGCTTGTAATATTCAAAACATCGTTAAAAACTCACTTTGTTTCCTAGGTCATGCTTTGACTTGAAAATTAATAATTTGTAATATAAATTTAACATTTTTTTTGTCATATAACCTTAATTATATTACAATAATCTACATTGAAAAAACTATACACAATACCTTATTGGTTTAATATTAAATTAAAATGGCACTTCAAATTTGATGAATTTATATCAATACAACACATTTTACCGTAACAACTAACAAATATTATACGATGAAATGTTTTATTACGGACATCGCAATTTATATCTATAATTGAGTTGCTGTGCTAAAGTAGTAAAGTTATTTGTTCAATCGATTGAATAAAAGCACTATTTAACAAAATGCTGTGTGACAGACAACTATGCCGTATTCAAACATGCTAATGGAATTGATCAAATTCAGCCAGTTCCGCTTACGGCCATATAAATTATTCCTGGATTTTGTATATATTAACT